CTGTTTGGCTGCTTCTTATACTGAACAGCAGGTGGGTGGAGCTGCAGTGCTCACAGACAGTTCCTGAGATCACCCTATTAAGGATATTCTCTCTCTGGCATCATACTAAGTGGCAAAAATCTAAACTCGAGCGTTCAGAGCAGTCCGTATCCTGAGCTTTGGAAGGGTTCATGACTATAGGCCGTTGGCTCAAACCTCTGGTTGAGTGGAGAAAATGTAGACACAAAAAGTGACAGAAGTACGCACCCTACTTCCTTAAATAAACCTCTGACATTTCAACTTAAGAGTGTTACATGTTGGTCATAATAAATATCAGGTTTTCTTACAGTCACCTGTGAACATTTTAATCTATTTTCTATATAAAGCAACGTGTCTTTGTGTAAATTTCTGTTGATTTCTGGCAAAAACAACAAAACAAAAGAATGTGCATGTGTGCATGTCTGTTCTCAGGTAGCCATTAAGGTGATAGACAAAAAAAAAGCACGGCAGGACTCCTATGTACAGAAGAACATGAAGAGGGAGCCTCGCATTCATCAGATGGTGCGACACCCTCATATTGTAGTTCTGCTGGAGGTAAAGACATGAAAATAAAAAATCACAACAACAACAACAACAAGTACATATTCACCCATCAACCATTAACATGCACAGCATCAGAAATACACATACATGAATCCAGAGACATATTTCTATTATTTTATTTTATATCTGCTGTGAACCACATATGAATAATCCTGTGCATCAGACGCTGGAGACTGAGAACAGTTACTACATGGTTATGGAGCTCTGTGCTGGAGGAGACCTGATGGACAGGATCTGTGAGAGGAAGAGGCTGGAGGAGCGGGAGGTGCGGCGCTACACCCGACAGATCCTCTCTGCTGTGGAACACCTGCACAAACACGGCATCGTGCACAGGTCACTACACACACATACACAACCACTGCATTGTGCATTGTTCACAGTTCACTCATTTGCATAGAGGAAAGATCAAATGCTTTTTGAACAGTTGTCAAATTGTTATATTACTACAATCGGCTTTAAGTCTCTCACCAAGTAAAACAGATGTCAAAGCAATACAACAGATGCTATTTAGAGCTTCTAAACATACTGCAAATGGAATCTCTTTATACTAAAATGCAACCGATGATGTAATGATGATGATACTAATGAAAATGATGATGATGAACAATCAGTAGCTTAGCTGGTGATAAAATAATGAAAAATCTCCTTCTCTCACTCTGACTGTGAACACAGTAGGTCCAGGTCACCTGCTGTATAAATATATATGCAAAACATGGAACAGGAACCTCCCT